AGCACCGGGCTGTAGCCGGCGGTACTTTTTTCCGGTGCTCTTTTGCCGGGCCCCAGTTAAAGCATCGTTGTTCTATCAGGCCAGGGCCAGGGCTCGCAGACTCTAGTGACCGTCAACACTCGTCTGACTGCCTGATTGGTCAGAGAGAATCGGTCACAAGGATCGCCGCGCAAGATCATCCCTAGCGTCGCATTATATATCTAGAAGCAGCTTTGCCCAGCATTTTTATACGCGCACAGCATTTTTTGTAAACGGAGGAGGCTACACAAATTGCAACGTTAAAGAAAGCACACCGTGTCGACCGAGGAGGACGACGTTCGCTACATCTCATTCGGGGATGATAAAATCAGCGGGAGCTCGACGGACACAACTCGAAATGCGGGAAAAAAAAAAAACGGAGATCGCCCGCTTACACTGCGTGCTTACCCCAGGGTCCTAAACTGTAATGAGATGCGGCCAGGCGCGCTCGGACGGCCAGCGAGGCAGCCCGAGGCCTGAGCGAGGACGCTTAGGGACGCTTAAATGGGGCTACCCCGCTGCAGTGGAAATGTGCCATAACTGACTATGAAGGGGAACTAGAACACTTTCAAAACCAAATGTTTGTCCCATTGTCGTCAGATTTTGTATTCATAAATGCAGACATCTGTCTCCATGTGGACAAATGACCTGCTAAAATGACAAGTTACTATGGTCCCTCTCCCATTTTTAACAGTAGGGGGATAGTAGGAAAATCATTTGTAAGCCTTCATTGGGTTCCTTTTTTTGGCGGGAGGGTCCAAGTCCAAAGGCAGAAGCAACAGGAAGCCTTTGGAATGCTAACAATGCTCTAAAGATATTCCAAGTTTCCTGACGTGTCATATGTTTTGGTCCAGCATTTACCCTTACTTTACAATCCAGCCCCCCCCCTGACCTGGTGGAGCTTAACATGGCTGAAAAGATCTTAATTTTCAACTATAAGCTAGATCGGTGTTATGGTGATTAGCTTTTTTTCATAGTCACGACAAAATGATAAAGAAATGTTTGAATATTTGGAGAACAGGAAGGTTCACTTCCTGTTAACTATGAAATTATGAGGAGCATTTACTTTGAAATGTTCAAAACTGAATAGGGTCAGGTTGACCCCTAGGATAAAAGAGTGATGCAGCAATGACTCCTAAACACGGAAAAGCATTTTAGAACTTCCAGACTCCCTTGTCTTGTGGTCTTTTGAAAAAGCTTTTGGTTAGATTCCCGAAATAAGGTATTTGGCTAATTCAAGATCTCAAGATTTTTCATGTTTTATGACTTCGACATAAAATATGTCAGTAAATACCCCACTGGGGAACGCCTGAGGCTTTAATGCGTCTTCAAATCAGCGGCTGCTAACAAGTTGATAAAAGAGACAACTAAATGTCAACAAGCCAAATATTAGCCACCTTTAGCCTAGCTTGGTGACATAAAGTCCAGCAACCGCAATGCAGCATGTTTATAGCATTATATTAACTTTTTACTTCAGTCAATTTCTTTACCCTTAAACAATTATACAATTGTTGGTAATTTGAGGAGATAATCCTGCTTATTTTCTTTATTCCAAATTCCAATGGAAAAAACCCATTGGCTTTTTGTCAAGGGAGCCCTTGTTATGCTATCTTCCGGGTTATCCTACACAAATCTGTCATCACTGCACCACCCTAAAGGAGGATTGCTAAATTAAATAAACATGCACCCTTACAGTAAATGTATTAAGTGAACAGCTTTAGCTCAGCATTAACTACCAAGTTCCCTACATACCCTCTAGTGAGAATCGATAGAGCTCATTGGCCATGTCAGGCACCAAGTCTTCTTCGGGGCTGCACTGACGGAGGTAGGAGAGCCTCTTGATGAAGTCTGTAACCACGTCATTGATATCATCCCCATACTGTGCGGATTCCTTCGGATGCAGCATGCGTTTGTTCAGTATCACCCTCAGGTTGTACCACCTCTCCCCCTCCCTAGGGACACAAATACAGTCACCAGGACTCAATCGCTTTGATTAATATTGCTTACATTTATCAAGTCATACTATATCTGGTGAAAAATTAATGGTTTTCATTCAGATATAGTGTCTGTATGTTTGCAGAATTAACTGATATTTCATAGGGACCAAATTAAAAACAATGCTTCCAAATCCAAGGCAATATTCTAAGCTAAAGGTGCAAAAAAAATAATATGACAAAGCCTGTCTTGCTGCATTCAAATTGAATTTGGTGGGAGCAAAATAATAATTGTAATAACAATACATTGAATTTGTTAAGCGGAGTGGTACAAATAAAAAATAAAAAAGTTGAATACAAAATCGAACTAGTAAAACAACACTTGGCACAAGGTCACAACATTAAAAAGAACAGTGTGTATTTGGTGTGTGAAATCAGACCTTTACACACAATCAGGTCAATCAAAAAGTGGACTCAACAAAGGACCTTAACAATATTAATGGTCAACGAATGGTGGAGATTTAAACATCAAACTTCCAATACTAGCTGGTCACAATCACCCATTCTCTTTTATATGACAAGACTTTGCCCTGGAAACCTCTTAAGCAAGTTTCTCAAGTCTTAACAATGTATCGTTTGCACATGGTCCAGTGGCCGTCAGGACATGTGAATGGCCGTCAGGACATGTGAATGAGTCTTACTCTGTGAAAGGCCCATAGCCGTATCCCCTCATATCCCGATATTCCTTCCACGCGGACAGGTCTCCTCGGGTGGGGAACTTCTCATCGTTCCTCAGCACTTCCTCCAACAGCTGTGGAGTGTTCACTGACACGCTCTTCTTTCCCTCTCTGTATATGGGCCCATATCGCTGCTTGTTATAGATCTGATGGTGGGCAAAGTGATGCGAAAAAGATGAGTGAACAGAGAAACCTGTGTGTAACCTGATTTGATTTGATAAGCAGAGGTAATCCTTTAGGAGCTAAGGAGAAACTAATAAAAGTCAGCGCTGAGCCTCAATCATCAATGTTACAAACAACAGAGAAAAAGGCCAGAAATCTCATGGACTCTGAGCTGAATTTCAATAGTCTCATTAAGACAATTACTTACGTCTGCATACTACCACCTGAAGGATATACTGTATCTTGGAGTAAAGGACTAATGTCAAAGCAGGATTTGGAGTCTGGATCTTCAGTAGACTCGACTACTGTAATGGTGTCTTTACAGGTCTCACTAAAAAATCTATCAGACGGCTGCAGCTGATTCAGAACGCCGCTGCTCGAGTCCTTACTAACACTAAGAAAGTGGATCACATCACTCCAGTTCTGAGGTCTTTACACTGGCTTCCTGATGTGATCCACTTTCTTAGTGTTAGTAAGGACTCGAGCAGCGGCGTTCTGAATCAGCTGCAGCCGNCACAAATACTACAAATTCACATAACAAACAATCAAAAATGAAAAAGGGTCACCAATTATTATTATTTTAATTAAAAAAAATATACAGTATATATACAGTATATATATATTTTTTTTGGTTACCTGGCTGGCGCCCCCTAGCAGCTGCGCCGCCGCTATTTGTATATAGGGGAAACAATGAACTTATTACACCCACAGCTGATTCACACACAGCATTTTTGGCTCTGCCTAGGCGACATATCACGGCTGCTGAATATTTCAAACTGAAAGTGGACGTAATAGATACAAAAATTCGACATAGCTTCTATCTCTGAAAATGAGACTTGAGACTTTCGGAGTCTCACTATTCTACAAACCATATCTTGTCAGATTTCTTTCAACAAATGAATCAGACATGTGTTAATCACAAGTCTTCTTTGAACCAAAGGCAGGTGTGTCCTTCAGTGTGCTATAGCCTGTAATTCATCATCAAATTGTATAACTAATGATTACCCAACCAGCAGACTGGAAACTGTATCACAATGGAATGAATCATAGCTGCACCTGTATGTTTTTGCAGCAGTCTCAAAGATGTTTCACACATTGGACTTTAATTTAGACTTTTGATAGAAGAGAACATGTGACACATTACTGTGGGACACCAATTAATACATGATATATCTCTGTTTACTTCATGCATGATGAAGTCAGACAATGTTAAGAATGTTGGACGCCGAGTCTGTGGTCAAATGACACCTTCAACCTTGGAGACAGCCAAGAAGAAAATGACACAGCGTGGGTCTACAAGAATAGTAGGCAATGCCAGATGACCTTCATAAGCACCAATAGCTGGCCTTAGATTAAGACACATTCCGTTGTTTGTCATTTCAAGATCATTAATTCAAATCGGGCTTGGGCAACATTGTAGATACAATAGAATTCTCATTGTCGTTTTCTAATTTACATTTTTGTACAAAAAACAATCTCTCATATTAAGCTAATGTGTCAGCAACAAAAACAGGGCTCAGATTGCTTAATAGAATCAGACAATGAACATATAATGCATTTAGACAAGTATAAGAATACACAATTATTACGTCATCAACTTATTGTAAAACATTTTGACATGATGCCAAATTCTTATATTTTCATCGACTCATGATATATGACCAGTTTATAGTATAGTATATTTCAGTTCTAATATCAGAATTTTCTTGAGATTTAGAAGTGCAATGCTCTATAAAAGGGTGTACTTGCTTTAGCATAGCCTTATCTCTTTGGCATAAAATGGTACTAAAATGACAATAATAATGTTTATCACAATTAATTCTTGGATAATATCCAACAAAAGGAGTTGTACCAGGCGGAACCACTCTATCATGGGCAAACAAAGCACAGTTATCACAGTATATCACATTTGTTTTCACCTCAATAAGAGGTCAATTCAAAAACAACACTCCTGCAACTTAGCCCTCATATGTAGAACCAGGTATTGTTAAAGAACTTCATACATTTCTTTAAATTGTAAGTCTCCATTTATTTTTGCTTGATGAAGTTAAAGTGGCCCTTAGTGTTGAATCTATGAATAAACACATTTAATGAAAACGGTTTGCGGTATTCTCGAGAACTCTTGTTCTCGAGTGAGGGAACAATGGAGCGTGAGATGGGTCGCAGAATCGGAGCAGCGGGAGCGGTACTGCAGTCTCTTTACCGCACCGTTGTGACGAAAAGGGAGCTGAGCCAGAAGGCAAAGCTCTCTGTCTACCGCGCCATTTTCGTNATCACATCACTCCAGTTCTGAGGTCTTTACACTGGCTTCCTGTGTGTCAAAGAATTGATCTCAAAATACTGCTGATGGTTTATAAAGCACTGAATGGTTTAAGCCCAAAAATATATTTCTGATCTCCTGCTACATTATGAACCATCCAGATCTCTCAGGTCTTCTGCTTCTGTTTCTGCTTTCAGAACGAGTCAGAACTAAACATGGAGAAGCAGGGTTCAATAAAGGTCCATCTTCTTCATCTTCTTCTTCTTCAGTTATTATGCTCCAAACATTTAGAACAAACTCCCAGTAAACTTCAGGTCTGCTGCAACTGTTTTCAATCAATGCTGAAGACTTTTCTTCTTGCTGTTGCTTTCGCCTGCTCTTTGCTTTTTCATTTTTGAAAAAGGACTTTGAATTACCTTATGTTGAAAGTTGCTATATAAATAAACTAAGCAATCTCCTGAGAAAAGGAAAATAAATAGATGGTTCCATAAAAGCCAAAATGTTAAAATATCCCATTGATCCAATGCACTGTGTCGCGTAAAAACAGAAAGTGTTCCTGCAGACAATCCTCAGTGAGTCAGCTGAGACCGGCTGTTATCTGGAGGGGACTATGGAAACAAAAGTCTGACATGTTCTATAATGCATTCTTGCTGGAGGTGAATGCACTCAAGCAGGTCAACCAAAGTGAGAGCCAATCAGGGATTTCTGGAATGCATGCAGGGAAAAATAATCTGGCATTACTGCCCTGCTGTCAACCCTAACCCTAATGTGTGTCGTCCAGATATCATGCAGTGCACTGCAGCCTACCTGTAACTCATGCAAACGGTTGTAGAAGCCCTGAAACACCATCCTGTAGATCAGCTCCAAGAAGCTAATATTAGGCAGGTCCTCAACAGTCCGAGGCTTGTCCTGGAAAGCAGAGAGGGCCCCAGGGGCAGGAGAGGAGCTTCCCACCCCCCTGGAGCACAATCTGCCCACAGAGTTAGGGTATGACAGCAACAAGCGTCCATTCCTCTGCACCAGAGCCCGGCACAGCCATGCAGCCATGATGAGAGCAGAATGGAAAACACAAGGATCCTGTTACATCCCAGAGGACTGCTCAGCAAGGAGGGGCCAGGTCCCTCACAAGTTTTAACCCTTACAGCACCAAGGGCCCATACAGAATCCCATACATCTGTAGTGCAATATTTCAAGCCTTTTCTTTGGCAATATCTTGTTTAATATAACCTTGTGCTTCCAATAAATCAATGGTTGGGAAAAGTGCTTTGTAAAAAAAGTGGTATTTCTGTGGCACATATCCAGGAAAGCAGACTTTGTAGGATCTGGTGTATAGCTTCTTCCTGTGACAGTAACAATTAATGCGGAGGACTGATTTAAAAAAAAACGTTTGCTGCTGAAAAGTTGCAATTTCTGTTAGTTGGACCAGTTAATGTATTAGAGGGAACATATTATGCAAATGTTCAGGTTCATATCAGTATTTAGTGTCTCTACTGTGACACTTCTCCATGCTTTAATATTCAAAAAGCTCTTTATTTTTCTCATACTGTGCTCTTTTCACCCTCTGTCTGAAACCAGAGTCCAGTCTGCTCTGATTGGTTAGCTGGCCGGATCTGTTATGACTATGTTACAGAAGTAAACACAGGAGCATAATGGAGGCGTTTCAGGCCATCCTGTATAACCAAGTTACATTTTTGCCCATTTACATGCACAAAAACCGATATAACAGACTACAGGAAATGGAAAACCCCCAAAACACAATAGGGCCTTTTTAATGTGTATGTGGTAAAGGCAGTTGAAGTGAAGGCATTAAAGTCATTTCACTGTGAAATGATTTGTGTAAGATGAAAGCAGTTGAAATATAATTTGAAGGAAGAGCGATGAAAGTAATTGAAATGTAATAATTGAAGGAAAACAGATTAGGATAGTTGAAGAGTTATTTAAATGCAAGAGATGAAAGCTGTTGAAATGAGCCCCGAGTTGAACCGAATCTAGGCAAGACGTTATCTTGGACTCTGAGGAACCGGGATGGACATGTTTCACCATTTGCTTTTTTATAGATTAGACATTTATTAAATTAATCTGGAAAATAATCAGCTGATGAATCAATAATTAAAATAATTGTTAGCTTCAGCCCGTTTAATAAAAAATGACATGACCGTCAAGTTTGTTAAAGTTATATATCATAAACAGAGAATATAAGCAGTTATGTTATTCATGTTCACTGATTAGCTGCCGTCACATGTTGTGTAATAAAGACCTGCCAATGAATGGGACTTGCTTGTGTCTACATGTGGACTACGAACTGTGCCTTTAAACCATGCGTGCCGACATGCTGAGTCATGGTCTGCTGCTTACAAGATGAGGAGAAATTAAACAAATGTTTTTCAAGATTAAGAAATTCTTTAAACCTTACTTCCTGTTGAGCTCTAGGGAAAGTCTGTGCCATTCATGTGATGGAATGCAGTGAAAACTAATGGATTCGTTATAAATCACATACAATTACTAAATTCTATATATTAGATAGAAGTGTAAAAACAGTGTTTTTCACATTTCTCTTTATTCAGTAATCACTCTCCAAACACTGTGCAGTCCTCTGTCATTATTTAATCTGGGCAACATTGTCTATAGATCCTGCGGGGTCCATTTTGTGCAGCAGGAAGTGTCCCTGCACCTGAGCGGCGCTGATCTCAGAGTGCACGGCCAGCGCCTGCGCTGCAAAGCGGTCCGCTTCAGAGGCAGGCTCCTCCGGGTAGAACCTCCAGAACATCTGAGTGAGCTGCCCGTGGGTGCAGTTCCCGATGTACTGCTTCAGATCCACACGGCCGGGCCGGATCAGCGCCGGGTCCAACCTGCAGAGAGTGGCAGTGAACGTCATAGAAAATACTGGGTCAAACTCACCAGGGATGTCAAATAACGTATTCTTAGGTAGCGACATCGAAGTTGTACAGTCCATTTTGAAAATAAATAATGTTGCTGGGTAGTTGTTATAGTATATATGACTTCAAAACAGTTTAAATATTTTAAAGCTGCTTTTGTATATATTTTAGCCACAAGAGGGTAGCATATGAAAGCTAGAAGCACATTCTTTAACCTTGTAAAGCTGTAGTGTCTATGTGTTCGCAAACTGTTGTTTATACACCCAGGCAAGGGCGCAGGAAGCGGGGGGGCCAGGGGGCCATTGGACCCCCCACTTTACAGCCCTGCCCCACATTTTCGCAGCAGCGGATGCCGCGGAACACTGTACACATCCCGTTTCAATAATTCCCCTCTACTCTAAAGTCGCATCTAACAAGAACGCCATCTGATCTAGCTGTATATATTTTGTTATATTCAATCTCATTAGCTACAGGCATTTGTTAAGCTTGTAAAGGGAAGATGACAGCTCTCACTCGCCACTCTGCTCTTCCACAGCGCCGCTCCACCTCCCTCCGCTGAAATTATGAATGTAAGGCGTGTAGTAATCATGGATAACACGGCAGATCCCGTTACAGTTTGTTTTCATCTGATTTCAAATAAACAAAGTCTTGGCTTTCAGAATATTAAACTTGTTTCGGCAAATTCAGATGATAAATACAACTTTGACGCTTGTAACGGCATAATTACAAGCGGAGAACGGAGTAACTTAACGTCACAGCAGGCATAACAACAGCCGGTGTTTCTCGTGAGTGTTTTTCCTGGGAAACAAACAATACACACAAATGCAAAAATACACAAACATGTATACACACACAATCGCGAGCTCCCCCCAGACCAGTAATCCAAACGAAAATATTTTTGATCATTTGCTCCGCTAATAATCAATCAGATCGATCGATGGATTCTAGAGAAGAGGAAACTTTAAAGGCCTTTTTCTCAAAATGACGACTCGGTGACAGTCATTATATAATGTGACATATTTTGCTTAATATTTGGAGTACAAAAACAATCCTGATATCATTAGACAGCTAGGAATCTCCTCTTTCCAGCAGTCTATACAACTCAAAATGTGTCTTCGGGTCAATGCGACTGATTTCGATGGAGCAGGTCACTTTGCATTAGGTAAAATAAAGCAGGCAGACATAACAGGAAGAATATGTACATTGTAATCCAATCAAATAGGACATTGTCACACCATTCAAATGTATCCATGTAAATTACAACCAATAAAAAAGTTTAGATTTGTTTATTTGTTACGTTGTTTACATTATTTGTTACGTTGTTCTGTGTGTCTCAGCCGTTAACCTAGATAGATATACTTGCAAACATGTCAGAAGAACCAGCGCATAAGAAAACAAAATACTGTCAAACTAAACTGAAATTCAACAACTTGAATGTCACATTCCTGACATCCACAACTCTGGAGCCTGGCCCTTCAACCATAGAACCAGCGCAGCCAGATGAACCCCAAAGCAGCAGCTCTGCGGCCGCAGAGCCTGTCAAAACCGCCGCCGCCGGCAACGTTGAACCGAAACAGGCTGGTTCCGATTGCATGCATGGAGGTTTGTTGTCGGGAAATTGTGACGGGCAAATAAAGCTTATTTGGGCAAAGAGAAAGGTACTTCAATGCAGAATGGTACAAAAACAGAGTGGTTAATTCTTTGCAAAAAACACTAAACGAGCCTTCTGTGGAATCAGATTTGCTGCTGTCAAACGGCTTGTAACTTTCTCCAAATGTGGAGATGACAGCTTTGTAAATACCGAGTTAATAACTGGAACTTTTCACAGAGCTTACTTCAGTCAAACACCAGTCAACATTCAGCTTGTCAAACAAGAGCGTAGCAGGAAAAAAGGAAAGATGGAATGATGGAGCAACTGAGCTGTCATATGTGTGGGCTGGACCTGTATAGTTTAATTTACAGGAAGGGAGTGAGCAGAGGGTAGGGTCCATTCTTGATCTGTTTTCTGTGACTATCTTCCTTCCCATGCCGAACACCCTCTCAGACTTTCATTTGCTCGCGCTACTAAAGAGACACGTTACCATGGAAACCAAACAATGGTGTAGCTGTATTGAAGTCCGAGTGGAAACAGTAAAATTTGGTGCGTTATGTTAGAATGAAACAGGTCGTGACTCACAAATCAGATTTAGTCAGAAACCGGGAGAAATGCGGAATAAATATGACCCCGGGAGGAAAACGGGAGTCTCGATCCCGTGAAAATCGGGAGGGTTGGCAAGTAGGCCTATGTCATATACACACGCACTTTTTGACCCCCCCCACTTCTGAAATGAATCCGGCGCTGCTGCATCCAGTAGACACAGAGTGACTTAAGCATTCACACACAAGTCACATCGTTCACCTTACAAAAAAACATTTAATGGAGCAGCTTTCCGTTTGTTTTCTTTTAGATCAATTCATAGAAATGTCAAACACTTCCTAGTTTTTTTTCTTAATACATGTTCGACTTATTTTTTAAATAGTATTTCCAATTTGGTTTTAGTTTTTTTATAGTATTTACAAGTTCTGACAATTGGTAGATCTGACCTTGGAGTCGTTTTGTAAAGGTTAATGACCAAATAGCTGCTGAACAGTTGTTGCTTAGGGGGTCTTTGTGGACGTCAAAATCATGGGTTAATTTGCATTAAAGATAAAAGCAGAAGTTATTTTCTCTGCTATTTGATTTTAGGGCTGTCAAAGAATCACCCAAGCTCCAACGAAGACAAATGATTTGGAGTAGGATAGCAGCAGAGATAATATGCCCTGTGTACTAGCTGCAGCGGCCCTCTGTGATAGCGGCATAGTCGATGCTTCAGCTAAATGTCGGGAAAATAATCGGAGTACATGCCAATAATTAAAAAGAAAATCATGTTTTAATAAAGTAAAAACCCGTTTGATTTCACTCACCGGTTTGTCATTATTTCTTTAGCACAAAACCACATGTACATGTCTTATCTACTAGTAAATATTATTATTTTGAACTTGTGATTAATCATGGTTAATGACGCAATTACATTTTGTAATCAATCGATGGCACTCATTTTGATCTAAGTGATAGAGATGTTGTCCTGGTTGTTGTTTTTTGGCTTGGACACCAACCCTTGTTTTTCCCAGGTATAGTGTTAACACATGTTAATCCAACAGTACCTGTCAATGAAGTTGGTGGTCATAAAAACGATTCTGGCCTCAGAGGAAGCCACTCCGTCCAGAGAGTTGAGCAGGCCGCTGAAGGTCAGTCTGCCCATCCCCTGGTAGGCCAGAGGGTCTGCAGGAGAGGAGAGGAAAGGGATTCCAAAATATGAAACACAAAGACAGTCTGTCAACCTCAGCTTTTCAATTTGCCGTCAGTCGGTAGTTATTTAAACCTCTTTATACTATAGTGTCTTGCATAATTTTACAATACATATCTTCAGTGGCTGATTTACTAAATTTGTTTTTCCACAGCAGATATCTCCAATTCAGTACTCACACACTTTCCAGTCTAATTACTATGTTTATTCAGAAACCTTTTATAGAGGGCTTTGTTCATATATTGTTCATAGCCTGATATATATCACATTATATTCCTAGAAACATGGCAAATATGTATTTTCTGATTCTGAGTTTTTAAGATAATTCCCTCTATTATGCTCTTCTTTATGTTACCCTTGTTTCCTACTAACAAACAGACCCCAGGTCCCTCCCAGCTGCTTACTCTCAGTGGGCAGCAGGTCTCGGCTGACGAAGGCTGCGTCAACGTCCTCCAGTAGGATGATGCTCTGCTGGGGGGCCACGCTCAGAAGGTGGTTCAGCCGGTCGTCTGACAGGCTGCGGTCGCTCAGACTCATTAGACAGATGCTGTAGCCCAGCTCTCCAGCCAGCGCCGTGCTGCAATGTGGAGGGCGGAAAGGTGGAGGGGAGAATTGAAGTACTCAACACAGCCTTCAAAGTCACAGACTCTAAGCAGGAAGGGTGGGAATCCAAAGCACACTCACATAAAGCTGCTCTTCCCACACCCTGGGGGGCCGTACAGCAGATATCCTCTTCTGTAGGGGATACCTGCAAACATTTATTATAGAAGCATGATCTTACAGAACATAGTAAAGGTGAATTCAAAAACATGTAAAGTTAGAAAGAACATATATAAGATACATTCACTTTTGAATGTTGTGACAATATATTCATAACTTTCATGTGATAAACAACAGAGCTTTACAAAAATCCTGCATTGACACAAAAATGAAAAAACTAAAAACTAAAATGCTCCTTCTGTTTAATAAATGTTTTTTTCTATTTAAAAACGTAGTATATTTGTTGCAATAGATGCAAAACATGAGTATTTAGGATGAAAAATAATTTCTACAAACTGGAAAAAATATTGTCCACAGACATACTTAATTAACTTAATCATCTTTTTATATAATTCATTCACCTTCTCAGTTGATGCATTCAAGTGCATATAGGAAACTGTACTTGCGTAACATCTTAAATGTTGTTAAAGAGCAACTTGCAGGTTTTTATTTTTACTAAATTTATGCTTAACCTTGCCTGAAAATTACAATTAAAAATGTTAATGCAGGATTTGATATGTTTTACAAGACATAAGGGCAGGAATTCAGAGGAAAAGGAGCCATTTTGAGCTCTGCTACTAAAAACTGCTCTTTTTTAACGTCATACGTCAAACGCGTCATATTACGTCACATGGGGGAGTTAACTTTCTCGGACTCGTTCTCTGCCCAATCCGTGGTAGTAGTTTGTAGTTGGTGAGCTAGTATTTTTTCGGTAATTTTACATTGCATTTCACCATTTGTAATCATGGTGAGCTGGAGTTTGTGCAGGTTGCACAAACTCCAGCCTGTCAGGGCATCGAGTCCACAGTTTCCCTCACGGGAAAAGGACCGGAGCTAGCGTTCGTTGCTGGGTGCGTTGTGCATCCACCTCCCTGCAGCACATACTCTCCACAGCTTTAGCAGGAAACCGTATTACATCTCTCTCCCCCCCCTTCA